GGTTTACAATTTAACACAGGTTAGGACAACATTTAAACATATTATTAATAAGAATAATGCCTGTAAAATACATTTTTTGTTTGTTTATAACTTAGAAAAATCTTTATTAATAAGATTAATTATAAGAAAACAAGCTTTGTTGTTCTATTTACTTTATAAGAAAAAAAATTTTACTTCTATTTATAGCAAAATTACCTTAAAAGAAGCATATAAAAAATTATAACCTTTCTTTCTTATTTTCATTAAATACCCACCTTGTTATGCCTTGTTTGTACTAACTTTTAACCTTTTATACACAACCTTTTGTAATTTTAACATATCTCACAGTCCAAAAAGAACAAAAAAGAAATGTTTCAGTTTTACTTTTCCTGTAATAGATTTCAACATTGTTGCCACAATTGCACTCCTTTTGCCACTGCCTTGCACTTATCCCAAATAGGATCAAATTGAACTAATGTTCATTTTCAACTGTCACTATGTGAACAGCTAAGTCTCAAGTGACCTTTCCTTTATTTGGTAGGTGATGGCTTTCACGTTAGTGCTTGATGTATACCTTTCTTCGATCGTATGGTCTCGATCGGGGCCTGGTGCAATGTTTCAGGTGGATCGTCATGCATACTACCGTTTTGATAATGAGGCCACTACGACAATCATTGGCTGGCGTACAATTTTATCTATGAAATTATGCATAATCCAATATAACGGGTTATAATATTTGAGTTATAATATAAACTGCGTATTCTGTGCAGTTTGATCTCAATTAAGAATACAATCTACCTACATGTCTGTTATAATAAAAATCCATTATCACATTATAATGCATCCCTTTGCTTGGGCCAAACTAAGGATTTTAGCGGTTCAAATCCCTAAAATGGACCCGGGATTTACATTTTTATCATAGGTCTAATTATATGTAACCTTAAAAAAAATTTTTTGTACATGTGTCCACGTTAATTTATAAACCTTCAGATCTAATGCTAACCTGAAACTTCCAATTAAAAGAGGATCATATATACTCAACTCGTCGATCAAACAATTAAAAACGACCTACATTATGAGACATCAGAAACGGTTGTTGCTCACTTTCCCAAATCCATTTTTCAGAATTATTATTATTAACAGGACACAAATAGGTCAGCGTCATTCATCGAATATTAATTAATCGACTAAGACGTGTCGGTGAAATGATCTGTCAGTTAAATAGTTGTCATTAGAATAAACTTATCGGTTAATTGATTTTCGGTGAAATGACAAACCTATTTATGTCTTTCTAGTAAAATGGATTTTCAGTATTACGACTTTGATGAAATGGTTACAGCAGAGACAGTGCCCGATCCAAAGTGAATCTCTCTCACCTGTGATCAATCGCAAATTATATTATTTATGTTGGATTCAATTGTGATGGATATTATCTCTCACCAGTTTTAATATATTTGTAACATTGACGGTCTCTGCTGTTGAAATGGTACGTATTTCAGAAAAATGTATTTGTTAAAGCGTGTAACTGATAATGTTCAAAAATAGATCCGATCGTCCATAGTATGATAAATTTCACGCATCACACTCAGAATCAGAAATCTAAAATAAATTCAAATCTGTGATTGGTTTGGAAATAATTTTTAACCTATATTGTATTGGCATTATTTTAGATTTCTGATTTCCGGTAACAAAATTGAAGATAATTTAGTTGTAAATACGGAAAAAATTTAGTGATATTATCTTTTTGTGACCACTGTAGTATTAGACATTATTATGTATTATTGATGTCCTATGCAATCTTCACGTAAACACGACTACACCAAAATTGTGTCATCAGATTTTAATATGGCATTTCAGAAATCTGTGACAGGTTAGTCAATTGCATGCCTGACCTTATTGGCAGAAGTTTGTCTGATTGATTAATAAATTCAATTTAATTTTACATTATTCATACAGTTAGAGTACTTTTTTAAAAAACCGAAAACTAATCATAATGAAATAAAGAAATCTGTATAGAAGGTTTCATTGTAGCTGTAGGACTCCATATCCAAAAATAAGATCTAATCTTCATCAGTTTAAAAAACTTAGTATAATAATAACTTTTCAAAACCAGGATCAGCCATATTGTATCATTCCATTATCCTAAAGAACTGAGAATAGTGAGTTATAAGTGTTATTCAATTATCTAAAATAGTAAGATCATTAAGAATAAAGTTAGTAGAAAGCTTAAGAGAAGAAGACCAGAGACATAGCAGGAAAAAATACTTATCTATAGAAATCAAACTACTAACCAAATCAAAATGCCTCTTTTTGACTTACATAAGAATTTGGATTGTCAAGTGACTAACTAAGTCATCATGTTAACTGATTTCAATATTATGAAACATGATGCTTTATATCATCATCTCAAGACATTCAAAAATATTCTCAAAGAACTTGGTAAAACTTACATAATTGCAGTGGAAAAATATTTTAAAATTAATAATGATGATGCAAATAATTTTTATATAAACTTATTGTATTATTATAAATTAGAGATGTGGATATATGTTTGTAAAGAATCTTAATTTTTATTAAAATGATCATGTGAAATCTTTGATTTTGTAAGAGCAGTATATATAATCCTGTAAAAATTTTGATTTTGTCTAAATTTTTTTTGATGCCATCTCATATCAGTATATTTTATTACAATGATAAATAAATTTTAATAAAATTTTATGAAATCATATATAATAAATAAATACTTTACTATATTTTTTTTTTAGATTTAAAGAATAACATCTTGACTCATGATCTTTATTAAGACTTGCAACCTACAATTATGTAGAAGGATATTACATTTTGCATATCAATGAGACTGCAATTAAACGCTTCTACAACTTTAGTCATTGTCTATTTAAAGGTTCTATCTGCAGGTTATCTACTAATTGTCATACCTAAAACCTAGCTGTAGGTTCCTATATTACCAATTTAATATTTTTAATAATGAACCTTAAAACTATTTTACCCTTGATAAAACTCTACTGAATGAAAGTAGATCTCACAACTACATCTATTGGATTTATGACATCAGAGGTGATTCCATATTAGGTAAGGTCAAAACACTGATAACATTCTTCATATTTCTCACTATAATAGTGCTCACGCTTTGTCATACCAGTTTCCCTCTGGGAATTCTTTAGATAAAATATGTACCTTCACTTGGACTTTCATAGGGCTTCGCATTCAATTATAGAATACATTTTTGGTTATAGAGTATTTTGCCTCCAGCCAAACTCGAACCGTCTGTGCGAGGATGGGAGTTAACAAAAAAGCTATAGGACCCAACCCACTTTACGATTATATTATTTTATATATAATATATATTATGAGTATAGTATACTAGTTTATATAATCAAATGCGATTTAACGTATCATACGCTACGTCTTTGCTCTATTCTACTATGCTCCTATTCGTAATACCGATTTTAGATGGCAGTAAACCATATACTCCACTATGCAAGTATGACTACGTTCCTGGTGCTCTATTACGCAGGCATGACTACATTCCAATTTATTCTACTTATCTATTTTACCTAACTATTCTCGTTTATCTATAAATTTCCCTTATCTCATTAACCCAATAAGATGGGTTAGTTCGATGAGTCAACGGGATTTATATTTCGGGAAAAAGATCGTTCCACCGTACTACGACCACGTTGTCATGCCCGTCGTTTTGCGTTCTGTTTATTTCTAGGGTCACGTAGCAATACACAATTAAAATTCCCTAAAGGAAAATTTTATGTATTACTTTGATTTATCAAGATTATTGCACTAACTATTTACGATTAACAACTAAAATTTGCGACATAATTAAAATGTTTTGTAGCTTCTGTAGAATTTCTTAACAGAAACTTTAACTAAATGTGTAAATTTAGTAGAATTATATTAATAATCGTATATTAAATACTCTATCGGATTATCTCCGGAATTTATTGCATATATTAAAAGTTATAAGAATCTAGATAAAGAAATTTTTATTAATACATTCTACTGTATAAGGTAAATTTAATGTATACAATATTTTATTTATTTGTGCAATTAACAACCACATGCTTATAAATTTCAGACATTCAATGGTAAGTTAAAGGCATTACGTGTCCTTAGACCTTTGAATATTTAACTTATTTCCATGAGTTATTAGACACTTTTATTGAAAAAATTCAATTCATTCAATACTACATTTTACTAAGCATTTTCAAATTTTAAACCATCATGAAGAAAGATTTTGTCCAAGTTTTTATTCTCACAATTGTAATTTTCTGCTTTACTTTCAATTTGCCACATCAGATCAAGAATTATCAAGATCTTATACAAATGATTTGGGCTCTAAAATACCAAATTTGATGTCAGGCTTGACATCAAACTTAAGCAATTCTGTTTCATGTGGAAACGGCTATTCTTGTGATAGTGGTTATACCTGTCAATCAGGTAACATGTGCTGCCCAACCGGCTCCACTTTATGTGGAAGCGGATGCTGTGATGGAAGTTGCCAGCTTAGTAATGTATGCTGCCCATACGGTTATACTGCATGTGGAGATAGTTATGGAGGGTGCTGTAGTGTAGGTACAACTTGCTCGTCAAATGGTAAATGTACTTGTTATGGTAGTTCTTGTAGTAATGTTAAGAATGGTAGTAGTATTAACAATTCCAAAGTCTCAATGTATTTATTAACAATTTTAGCATTAATGTACATTTTTTATAGAACTTGAATGATTTATTGCCATGAGAAATAGTATTTTTTTTAATATAGCTCGCTAATTTTAGTTATATACATCAATATATTTCAGTTTATCATCATTTTTAAGATTGCCTCTCAACATTATTTTATTCAGAATAAATTCTCAATTTTAGTTTGGATTAAATTAAATGTGTTCACTGCTTTTAAATATGGTCAAGATTTACATTTAATTTAACTTGTTAATAATAACTGGATAATATATGCAATATTATTAATACCTTGTTAGCTAAAAATACATGAATTATAGTTTTCTAGGTTTAATTATAACTTTCAATTCTTGACAAGAAGTGATAGCCGCGGATTTAACATTCAATTTGTCATTCATATCACTTAATTCAAAATCATATTTTCCATAAACTAAGGTCATTAAAGAAAGCAATTCAATCATTGCCAACTTTCTACCTGGACATATGCGAAGCCCACCACCAAATATAGTGTAAGAAAATTTATTTTTTGCCATTTTTGTATCATCCGTATCAGTAGTATCATTACTAGTTTCAAGACTATGATAAAATCGATCAGGATTAAAAACTTCAGGATCTTCCCAGTAATTTTCGTTTAAATGTAAACTAATTATATTAATTGCAAAATATTGACCTTTATCCCATTTATAACCTGCTACTTCACAAGTATCAGTAGAATATCTAGTTATATTGTTCACAGCTGGCATCAATCGATTCGTCTCCATGATTACTGCTTCACAATATTTTAGTTTGAAAAGGTTTTCATGAGTAATTTTGTGAGGAGTAATAAAAGGAAAGAATTTATCAATTTCGGCAAGAACTTTTTGTTTCACGTTAGGATTATGACAGAGGTAATAAGTTATAAAACAAAATAAATTTGCTGTCTATTAATATAATAATTTGAAAATTATTTAATGAATTAATGATTTATGAATTTGTAAATTACTTAATGAACGGATGAATTAATAATATACTACCTACAGTATCAGTTCCATTCACGAAAGCATCCAATAAATTTATTCTAATTTCATCATCGGTCATAGGTCTCATTTCATCATTTTCAATATATTTTATTTTATTTAGATCAGTTTTAGCAGTAATCAAATATGTTAACATATCATTTCTTAATTTAACAACATTAGGATCCTCTTCAATTTCTTTTCTTCTTCGTTTAATACATCATCCAATCTTTTGAACAAAGTGTCACGATTTTTTAATAAAGAAATTGCTTTATTCCTAATAAAAGGGTTATAATGACGCATTAATGAACTTATGCTCATAAATATTGTAACACCAAGAGAATAACTGCGAATTTCAGTTATAAATTCATTCGAATTCTCGATTAATTCACTTGGTAATTGAACTTTTGTTGTACTAAGAGAGTTATTATAAAAAGCCATTGAATAAGATCGTTCACCAGTAATTAATGTTGCAACTATATCATAGGAATATCTATGAAACCATTGTGAAAAATCAGCCTCGAGAGCCCATTCACATGTATCACCACGTGTTATATTGCTACTTGTCATATTTCTTGCAATAGATTGCCAATAACTTTCTAACTCTTCGAAAAGTTTATAAGACCATAAGATGACGTCATTTTTAAAACTTGGGGTTAAAATTACTTGGGTAAAGAACTGACGATTAAACTTCCAACTTTTTAAATTATTATTAAATAATATTCCTTTATCTAATACTTTAAGCTCTTCCAATCCTTGTACTTGATGAGTTCTTGCTGAAAAAGTGGGGTTTGTTATTGATGAAGAAAATATCTTTTCAACATATTCCGGATGAGATAGTATAATTCTTCGATGCCCGCCAAAATGAACTTCACAAATGGCACCATACCTTTTCTTTAATGATAGATTAAATTCTCTTAAGTCACCTTTAAACTCTAGTTCATTTTGAAAGAAGGGTAAAGGTATAGGTCCAGGAAGAGGGTTAGGACGTGTAAAGTATTTATAGTAGAATTGGAAGAAGTAAATAAGAAAAATGGATGCAATGAAAAGAAGAAAATCGGTAAAATTGATGTTTTCTAAAAGCATTGTTACTAGATAACCAAAAAGCTTTAAGCTGAAAACAAAACTTGGTAAATATATGCGTAATTTTAAAATTTATAGTGTTCATATTGCTGCGTGTGAGTGGTACAAACTCGGCGACATGTCACGATTAAAATTTGTTACCTAAACAGTTAACATGAATGTTTCTACATACGTACGGTATCCTCAAAAGGTTTAACACTGATACACAAAAATCTTAACATAATATTTACAAGATTTTTGATAGTTTTTTTTGTGTATTCGTGTTAAACTTTCTGAAGATACTATACACTATTCTAATTTGTGTAATATTGCAGCTAGAATTCCTAAATCATTATAACAATCATTAGCTCAGTCGATCTTTCGGGGACTTACGAACTTTATTTATTAGATGTTACAAACGATTATATAATGAGGTTCAGTATGAATAATAGCATTCATAATAGATTGAGAAAGGGCAAGGCGTTGTAGAGATTTTTGCAGAAAAGTAAGATTAACAGAGTTGTACACTTTACTCATATCTTGAGATAAAAATTAAATTGGTTTATAGTTGCATGATGCATCTTCAATAAGGTTGTTAAGTATATGAATTGGTATAGATGTGTTGTTGTTAGATAGAACAATATAATTGTATAGTGAAAGAATAGGATAATGAGAAAACACAGTACTGATTCTAGTAGTAATAATTTTTGTGTAGATTTTTTGAATATGTTTGATAAGACTAATTGGGCAAGTGAGATTTAAGTCATCATTAAATATATTATGTTTTGGAATAGGATATATTCTACTATGTTTTTATTATTTGAGAATTTGACTTGAATTAAAGCAATGATTAAATAAAACTGTGATAGTTTTAATACAAGTAGTATCTGTATATTTAAACATTTTATAACTAATACCTGTAGGTTCATAGGCTTTCCTATTAAGAAGTTGGTATAAAGTTTGAAAAATTTCTTTTTCTATTATAAGTGAATTAAGAGAATTATACTATTGGGTATTAATATGTAATTGTGGTTGGTATTGTATATATTAGAAGTTATTAAATAAATTTTGATCAGTTGGTTGGTATGTAGTCCAGTCTTGAAAATATGATTATATTTGCTGTTTAATAAGATTAGGATTTGTAATGAGTTGGTTAGAAAAAATGATATTAGAAAATAAATAGATGTTTTGTATTAATTTAGATTACTGTTTATAGCTTGTTTTGGAAGTGTTGAAGGTGTTTCACATTTCTTTTCAGTAACTTGTTGGATTTGTTGACAAAATAATAATAAATTTTTTGTATAGTAAGCATGATATAGTTATTTTCAAATATCTTATACATGTTGGATCTATGTATGAATTTGAGAATGATTATCTAAATTAAAAATTTGAAGATCACAATAGAATCTGTTATTAATTATTTGAATCCTAGAGTTTATCATATTTGATTATTGTAAATGTTTTTAATAATTTTTATTAGATGTTCAAGTTCTTTAAGTGATGTATAAAGTAGAGTAGAGTGAGAGAAGTATTAAGATTATAGCTATGTTAGTATTATTGTCAAGTAAAGTATTATATAAACTAAGGTTATGAGAGAGAAAGTTAGATAATTCTGTCTTTTGCCTATTAATATAACTTTATAGTTAAAGATTTTGTGACTAATACCAGTATGATGATATGAGGATTTGCTGTATGTATTAATAAATGTTCAGATAGATATAAGAATAGAGTAATTATCAAATTTATATGAAAAAAAATTAGATATTACATAAATCAGTCTAGATATAGTCAATACAACTATAACTAGTATTGTTTGATCATATATAATGCTTGTTGTCAATATGTATACCAAGATTAAACATGTTAAAGTAGTGTAGATGATTAATGAGACAGAATTTAGATAATAAGTTATATGTGTTATTATGTGTATTAAAGTCATCAAGTATTATTAAATAAAGGTTGTGTTAATAAGCTTGTTAGATCCATATAATAACAGTGTATTGTGTATTATTATGTTTAGTAGAAGAGAGATAAATAGTTATAATTTAGAGTTTAATTTCATTTTTAAAAAACAGGTCCAAAACAATTGTTTTACTAAGATATATTTAACATTTGTATATATAAGGTTATAAGTGCTTCTGAATTATAATAGCAACACCTTTTACTTAACTTTTTAAATTAGTCTAGAAGTAAATAAATAGATTGTTGTTATAAAAATAAAAATTAGTATAATTACTAATTTTAGTTTCAGTAATATAGCCAATATGAAAATTATTATTAAGATAATAATTCTGCCAAGCTTTTTTTTAGTTATTGTATTAAATCTTTAATATTATATATACAAATGTTTAGATAAAAATCATGTAGAGATTGTATTGATGTAGATAGTTATGATGTAGTATAATTGTTAAAAAATAGATCAGAAAGAATGAAATTAGAGCTAGAGAGATTTGATCTAAAAGGAAGATTATAAAAAATAAAAAAAAATAAGAGTAAATAACAGTATAATTAGACAAAAGAGAATTATTCAGAAGATATATATAGTTTTTATAACAATTTTTGTTAACAGAAAAAGTAAGACTAGAGACAGTGGTATTATGATTATGTTTATTGATATGTTGTATAAAAGATTAAATAGTTTGGTCATAAGAAAGAAGTAGTTAGTTGTAATAAAGAAGAAATTTGTTAAAACATGTATAAAGACTATAAGAGCTTAAAGATGTTGAAAATAATCTTCTGATATTGTCTTCTACAGAGTTGATCACTATATGCTCAGCTCTTACAGCTATGTAAGGTATCATAGTCTGCTCTGTATTATTTGTTTGACTGTTATTATTTTGCATTCTATATAAATAGGCTTTATCACATATCTACTTAATTTATTTAATAGAATGGTAACTGCATCTATAGGTTACAAGATAATAAGTATAAATGCTATATTATAAATAAAGTATATAATATGTCTTATATATAAGAAAATATATAATAAAAACTTTAAGTTTTATGAAAAAAGAATACATTATTCATAATTAATAAATTTATTTTTTTATAATTACATATTTCTATATTATAAAATAAATACTTATTTCTTAATTTAATACTTAAACAATGTAAATATTATAATTATTATTTTTGTAATCTTGCTTTTATGATAAAAATCTGTATTAGGCTCTGCAAACTGACCTAATCTATAAATATTTACAATCTGAACTAGATCTAAAATAAAATTTTATAATTGCACACCAGGCTGGACTAAAAAAATTGCAAAATTATATAAGAAATTTTGTGAACCAGACCAGGTTAGGTCAGACTAAAGAAAAAAATTAATATATATAGATCAGACCAGGCTAGCAAAAAAATTTTAATCCTAAATACAGACTAGGTCAGGTTTTAAAAATAGGTAATTTGTAGATCTCTATTATATAACATATTATTAAGATTGATTTTCAATATATAAAAAACTATTATAATATATTTTCAACTTCTCTAATGTATTGTAAACAGTTAAAACAATTAAATTTTAGTTTGAGGTTTAAATAAAAAATTTTAGCTATAGTTAGTATAAAAGTAAGTTTGTTAATAAGCTATATTAATACAGAAAGACTTAATATAAATAAAAAAAGAAAACATATCTATAAACTTAACTATACTTGTTATATATAACAATCTTTTTTAATTAAGCTAATTTATAAGTTACATAATATATTTAATTAAAAAGTAACTAGTTTATTATTTTGATAAAATATTAATAATTAGATAGTATTAAAATAATCTTTTTTTTTTTTTTTTAAATATTAATGGTGAGGCCATGTTTTTAACTTTATTGAAATTCAATTGAAGTTTTTACAAA